GTTTTATTGTGTTTGCATCCAAAACCTTAGGCAGGAGAGTGACCACCCCATATTTCAACCTGTCAGTATCAAGAGACCCCTGATGCAGTTCATCAAGCATTTCTTTGACTAAAACTCTAAATTCTGGCCACATGTTCTTGTAGAAACCCACAGGGAACCCATCTGGGCCAGGTGCAGTGTTTGATTTCATCCCTTTTATTACCTCATCAATCTCCTGGAATGTAAAAGGCTTGACCAAATCTAATTTATCCTCCTCAGAGAGTCTCAGATTTGTCCCCCAAACATCATCACTAAGATGCACATTTCTACACCCTTCCCTTCCAAAAAGTTTCTTGTAATAATCATAAATGTGGGTCTGAATTTGGGTAAAATCAGAAATTGTGCTCTCCCCATCCTGTAGAGAAAAAATATGCCTCTTGCGTTTTCTGCCATTCACCACCCCATGAAAAAAGAAGGTATTAGCATCCCCTGGAGAATCCACTTTTCTCCACATCTCAATTGCCACTAGATTTCTTCCAGGAAATAAATTTTCTCCACTTCCTTCTCTAATTCATATCTCTCTGACCATTCATGATAAAAAAGCTCCCTATCTTCAGCCTTTGCATCAATCTCCCTGAGTTTATGTTCAATTAGTTTCCTGTGTTTCTTTGTGTCACTAGTCTTATTGGCTCCCCAGCCTCTTAACCATCTTCTAATACAAGGCATCAACAGGTGCCAATAGTCCAAAACTCCCTTTTGCAACCTCACTGGCCAAACCCTCATTAACTGTTCCCTAAAACCTGGATGTTGAAACCATCCCAATTCAAATCTGAAAGATTTAGTTCTCATCATATCTTCCTCTCTTGTGTCCAGTAAGATAGGATAGTGATCAGAACCCACTCTTAACAAAGAACACACCAAAGTCAAAGGATTCTTTTGTTCCCATGAGTTTGATGCAAAAACCCTATCCAGTACCCCAATAACAGGAGAGAGTTGTTTATTAGTCCAAGTAAACTTGCAGCCAGCCCTGTAGAACTCATTTAGGCTATGATCATTGACAAACTTATTGAACATATCCATTCTTCTCACATCCACAACCCCATTGGACTTATCTGAGCTATATCTGTACATGTTGAAATCTCCCCCCATCAATAGAGGGTACACACACTTTGAGATTGCATCTCCTAATTCAGACAAAAAGATATCTCTCCCCTCCTGATGAGCTGGTCCATAAACATTCATCAAACCCCATATCATGCCATCCTTCCTGTTCTTGACAACCATATTAAGAAGATGAGTCCCCGAGTCCAATCCATGATCTCAAATAGGCAATCTTTGACACTAGTAAGAAGGCCCCCAGAATGCCCTATAGCTGCTACATATCTCCAAGTAAACTGATCACCCAACAACCCCCTCAGTTCTCTGTCTGAAAAATCTTTTTTGATGGTTTCTTGAATGCAAACAATATCTATCCTATGCTCAAACACTAGCTCCCTCAACTGCCTTTGTCTACCCACAGCCCCCAAACCCCTTATATTCCAAAACAGAACTTTCATCAGGACTTTTTCCTTCTTCCCCCACCCCCTTTCTTTTTCAGCACAGAGCCTTTCCGGCTACCTTTCCCTGGCTTTAATTTCACTAAACCCTCACCAATTGGTTCCTCATCAACCACAGTCAACCCATCACTTGCAACCCCCTCCTGATGGGTTGTCTCATCAGTTACAGCCCCCTCTATTTCCTCCCTACCAGTCGAGTCATCCACAGCTGCCATACTTATCAAGTTCTGTTCAGCCTCAAATAGGGCAGCCTGAGCTACTTCTCTAGCACAGATAGCCTCCAGATTCACATTAATCTCCTCCTCGCTATCCCCAAGAGTAATACAACTAGCACTAGCAATTTCTTTTAAAATATTCCTATCAACAGAATTAAAAATGGCATAAGGATTGGATGTACCTGGATTCAGATTGACCTTGGACTTTCTGATCTCAGCCTTGAGTTGCACAGGTACATTCTTGTCCCTCACCCTTAAGCCTTGTCTCTTGGCAGGTATCACTCCCTTCTTCTTGTTCTTCCTTTCTACCTTTAGAAAAGCCTCTTCTTCTATAATCTGTCCCATCACATCTTCACATGCCCCCTGCTCATGCTCTTCATCTTCCCCTTCATTTTCTTCCTCCCTCATTTTTTCTATATCAGAATCAGTTGGTATAGCACATTTTCCATCTTCCTCATCTTCATATCCCCTTATGGCATATTTCTTCTGAAGATCAATATCCATCAGATCCTGCAAGTCACACTCCCTTAATTCTTGTTAGTCAGGATCTAGTATCTCAGTGTGTTGGGATTCCTCCTCTGGCTGCCAAACTATCATAGCCAAATTCTCTGGAGTTTTTGGGGAACCCACATCAGACTTACATGCACTCAGAATGGCCCCTTTGTCACCCTTGGTAACAGGACTGCATATGTCAGTAGCCCCTTTACCACCTTTGATAACAGGACTGCATAGGAGAGTAGCCCCTTTACCACCCCTAGTAACAGGGGGAGCTGATTGTATAAGCCTTGAACTGTTACTAGCCCCAGTACCCAGCTTGCTCAGATCAGGTTGTTCTTACTCACCCCTTTATCCCCCTCTTCCTTCTTTTCCTGATCCTTCTTGTCTTCATCTCTGTCATCTTCCTCCTCATCATCATTCCCATCAGGAGGAAGAAGATCAGTTCCTTTTAGTGAATCTTTTTCCACTTCCCATCTTAATTTGTAGCCAACTCCATTAATGTATATCACTATAGAACAATTGATTGCAAAAGGATCAAGAACACTCAATCTTCATTTTCACAAATTCCCCCTTAGCCACAGAAGTCCCATCCACCTCTTCTAATTCCCCCACCAATTCAGCGACAGCTTTGATTGAAGCTTCAGATCTAGCAAAATCAGGCATCCCATACATTCTTACCCAAACCACATACAGTTCATCCACAGTCATCTTTGATTCAGTTACACTGGCCTTGATAGGAAACTTATCAAAATCAAAGCTCTTAACCAGGGTCAGCTTGCTCCTAGCTTCAGGATTAGGGAAATCCACTAGAAAGTCATTATCATTAATTTGTCTCACCTTCCAATCCCATTTGAGGCCCTTAAACAGAGAAGATAATTCAGCCATCACTTTAGGAACCGAGCCCTTGCCTCTAATAACAGACAAAATTCCCCTGCAAGCAGTTTTAGACCCTTCCCCTGCTGGAACATCTATTTTCATGCTGTAAAAACCTTGCTCATTAACTCCATATCCCTTAAACTTAATCTCGACTCTCTTACAAGACCCCATCATGGTAGGACAATGAGATGAAATGTGGCCAGAGCTCTTACAGACATAGCAGAGAGATGGTTTTGTGCACCTCACCAGATGATGGCCGAATTCACCACAGTTGTAGCACTTGATGGTGTCCTCCCGGGGCCCCTCCTGGACTTGTTCTTTCCTCCCCTTGTCGAATCTCCTCACATCCAGCCCTTCCCTTTGTTCACCTTGCCAGACTCTCCCCTTTTCACCTTGCCAGTTGCGACCCCCCTCTCTGCGCTCATCCGGCCGCCATCTTCCTTCGGGTCTTCGCTGATTCTGTCCAAGCAGGCGCCCACGGAGCTCCTCCTCCTCCCGCTCCCATGGTGCCCGATCCCCCCAATCCCTCTGCTCCTCATCCACAGCCCTCCTCTTGTTTGATTGCCACTGATCAGGGCGAGGATTCGGTGGCCTCCTCTCCATGGAATCACCCCGTACAACCTCAGCAAACGATCTGCTATCTACCCTACGCCTCGCGGCCTTCCAGATCCGCCTCGCACTCCCCCCAAATTTGTGAATCTCTGCCTTGCGAGCAGGAAACCCTAGCTGTGGCTCCAGCACACGACCTCTTGGAACCCACAACCACCGAGAGGGCAGCTCAATCTCCTCTACCTGCTTCGGGATAAGGTCGCGGATTGACCAACCTGCGCCATGCAGCGAGTCGCCATCTCCGCACCTCTCCTCCCTCCGTGCAGACATGTCACCATCGCCATGGAAGCCCACACTACCAAGCTGCGAGAGCCCAGTGCTACAGCATTGGGCTGCTTGAGTATCCCCTGCACGGGATCCCTCAAGGAGCGCCCATGGCATCCAAACCCTAGGCCCAGGAAGCCATGGCGGCGAGATCGCCTCACGTGTCGCCACCGCCACCGCCTTACCTTTTTCCCTCGCATGACGTCATCGTCAACTTGTTTCAACTTTTCCATCACATCGTTCCAATTTCAACCAAACTTCCAATTTTAGCGTGAACTAAACACAGTCTTAGCTTTTATGAGAAAGATCATAGCCTTCATGTTATGTCCGCATGACCGGACAATGAAACTTGGTCAGACAATAGATGTCCAACCGGTCTGAACTCTCGAGTCTAATATTGTATTTCTTGTATTTTTCTTGTCCGAGGCCATGGTTTAGCCAGACTAATAAGACATGAAGAAGTCCTGCGGATGCAAAACCCCCGCCTTTAAATATTGGGGTCAAGTCCGATTGAAGGAATAACCAATCAATCGTTAAAATTCAGGCTGTGAAAAATTCAGGTCAAGGTTGCACCAATCAATCGTTAAAATATATAAGGTTTGATGTATATCAGGCTAAGGTTGCACCTTTTGTTTAGAGTTTGCAATTGATATATGATGTGACATACTTATTTTCTACTGTATGTGTATCAAATGTCAAATGCCAAAATGTTAACCGATAGTTGCATCAAAAGATATTTCCAAAATCTCAATGCCACTCATTTTCATATTGGTTGGATCATTAGAATCACCTAGTAATGAAAAACTAATTTTAGGAGAATACTTTTATTCTTTTACTCTTAGCCGTTTAATTGCAAGTAAAAGTCAAGGTAAAAAAATAAATATAATAAAAAATCCCATAAAATATTTTAAAATAGATTCTTCAAAATTTAAATTTGGCTGGAGCTACCCGAAATCATCCTATTTCGTTTTTTTTTTTACTCTTTTACCCTCCGTAGAACCCTACCAAATTGTCCACCTTCCCCAGACACTGCACTACTGCAGCCCCCCGACCCCGATTGATCGCACGTATCGCCGGCGGCATTGGCCAAGAACTAGCAGCCGCGCAGCGGATGCAAAGCCTCTCCCGCTCCACCCTCCTCGGCCTCGTCCGCCGCCTTCGCTTGTCCTCCCCTCCATCCCCCGCGCCCCAACCGCGCCGCCTCCTCTTGACCGCCTCCCCGCCGCCGCCGCCGCCGCCGACGACGACTGTCTGTTGTTCTCGTCCGGCGGCCGCGCCAGGGCGAGATGCTCGGACGATGGCGGTGGCCCTGGCGGCTTCTCCCGATCGATCCATGGGCCGTGAATCCCGGTCTGGTTTCTTGTCCTGTTATGAGTGAGATAGATCTGCATTTTTTTTCTTCTGTTGGTCGGTTTCTTCTTCTCCGTGAATGGATGTGCGAGGGCCATGCGCGTCGTAGTGGGTTTTGGATTGGGTTCGTACGTAGCGTACTTCTAATTTGGAGGATTTTGTTTTAATCATGATCCATAAGGCTGTTCGCATTGTTCTGATTTTTTGGAGGCAAATTAAGAAAATGATTTAATTCCACACATGATCCTAACAAGAAGGAACTGAAATTAAACCAATTCAGGTAACCAAATCATGATGTCGAGTTCAAATTTAGGTAAATGACTGCGTTTTCATTTGTTGTATCTTACTCCCTCCGTCCTTGTCAAACTTTGATCAAGTTTATTGAAAAATTTAGCAACATCTAACATACCAAATAGTTTCATTAAATCTAACATTGAATATATTTTGATAATGTGTTTCTTTGTGTTGGAAATTCTACTATATTTTTCTATAAATTTGGTCAAACTTAAACAAGTTTGACAAGAAAAAAAAAGTCTAAACGACTTATAATATGAAATGGAGGGAACAGTATATATGATTTGGTTGCTTTAGACTGAAGAGTTAGTTACTTCTGCTCTCTGTTAATAGATTTCGTCATGGATGGAGGAGTCTGACCAGCAGCTCTGAGGAAAAAGGAGCGCTGAAAGATGTACCGGCCGCTGCCATGCTGAAGAATAGAAATGATAACGAGAAGAAACGGAGTAGGAGGAGGAAGCCTGGAATAACCATCCTTAAGAATAGCGGACACCGTGATGGTTCTATATTTAAGGGCAACCGTGGCTGGAAAATAGACTTCCGTATTGCAAACCCTGATGAGAGTAAGTAGTTTAAATTTATGTATTTTCTTTTTGCGCTATTCATATTTTGGTATACTTCCTTATTAAGAGTTAAACTATGCACTATGATTTAGTGCCGTTCTGAAGGGAGTAGGCTACAGTATGTAGAAAATCACATGTGCACAAAAATCTCAGTCTGTGTTCAGCTAGGTGCTAGTTGGTCGATGACCCACTGACTAGGGACTAGTCCTACTAGTTGGTGACTAGTTGGCAGTTCAAATATGTTGAACAATAAACCACAGAAGCAGCTACCTTATTTGACAACATATCTTCAAACTATTGAGTACTTAGATTTGATAAACGGTGCGATGTGAAGGCGAGAGAGGGTGTGGCGGCACTTGGCTGCTCCATACAGGACCAAAGGAGGGAATAAAGGGACCGTCTTAACCCTAGGAACCATCCGCCCCTTCTTATCCTGCTTGTTTGGCCCAAAATTTTAGCATGTGCTACTTTTTTATTTCCTAGTTGGCCCATTGAACTGTCTAGTCACTGAATCATACTGACCGACTAATCGGTCGGTCTGACTGATTCACTGAATCAAGGCGGGTTGGTTTCGACTACTAACTAGTCACCGATTAACCAGCCTAGTTGGTTGACTAGGTGAACACTTGTTATGGGCATGGGCCTGGCCCATGCAACAGTTTAGGCATGATAAATTAGGAATAAGTCACATAAATATAGGAGATTACCTAGTTAGGAAAGAGATGAGGTTTATTGGATTGGATTGGTTTATATAATACTAGAGACTAGTTCCTTAAGTGAGTCTGTCCTCCCTATATATAAAGGGACCCCATGTATTCTATTATCAATCAATCAATGAATCTCTAAAGTTAGCCCTAAGCCTCAGAGCTTCTTTTAGCTCAACAGGGAGAAGCCCTTCCTCTGCTATTAGAGGGCGAGCACGCTATCCCCGGGTCTTAGGACCCTTATCCTAGCCAATCCATAACAACACTGATATCAGTTAATGTCGTGTATTCACATGCTGAAAATTTTTATGTCCCTCACGTTTAACACATGTCATCAGCTCATCAGTCATAGGAGAGGCACAGCTGCCATAGCAGCCCAAAGATGGCTTAGTAGTTAGTACTTCAGTGCAGAGTTTTGTGAAACATTTTGCCTTTCATACATGGGATTAAGTCAGTTTTTTCACTAGGCAATGGCTTTATTTATTTATGAACATAAGTACGGGAAAGTGTAAACTACTGTTATTTCAATATTTCTCTTGTTCTGATTGCTTATTTAACTATGACTTAAATCTCTGGTGAAGCCCAGTTCGAGGCCATGATGCTGTCAGATCCTGGAGATTGCAAGCCAGATGAAATAGCATGTGTTATGCACCAACCATGTCCCATGCTGCAAATTTTTTCATTGAAATTGGCTAAAACTTCCATTGATCGTTTTCCAGTTGAGTTGTATGGATACATAGCAGTGCGGGATCTCATGGATCCACTGCGCAATTATGTTGTCCGTCGCAGCAGGGATGATACCATTGCCGTGAAGCCGGTAAGCATCTGCACTTATCTGCAATTATGTTAATGTACTTCATTCATTTTACAATATGTGCCAAAAACTAACAAGGTTATAAATAAAATGAAACATGCATATCATGACATATTACAACATTTAATCTCTTTTACATCCTTATGATTTGAACAGACAGTGGAATACTGGCAACACTTTTCCCTTTCCATTTTTAAGGCTGGATACAATTTTGCAACATTGTATTAAGTATGATATTGGACTCAGTCTGCACTCTTGATTTACTAACTAATTAGACAGAAAATCCATATGTGGTTGAGCAGTGGATATTCATATTACATAAAATTTTATGGTTTTACCTAGTTTTGTTTTGGTCTACTAAGTTATAACTGAAAAAACTCCACTATAGACTATAGTAGTGCAGCGATTATATCATGGAACCAGTTAAGGTGCTAGTTGTTTTAACAAAAGAAAATATCTATCGGAGTAAGGACAATAGAAAAACCTGTCATTTCCTCTCTACTCTAGCGGTCGTTTGGAGAAGATAGGGAGAAGAAATCCCTTGTTTTCCTCGCGTACACCTCCCGAACTGTTAAATGATGTTTTTTTTTGTAAAAAAATTCTATAGAAAAGTTGTTTTAAAAAAATCACATTAATATTTTTTCAAGTTTGAAATAATTAATACTCAATTAATGATGTGCTAAGGGCCCACCTTATTTTGCGTATCTTCTCAATCTTCTCTTTCCCCCTCCTCTCAAACACAGTATATGATAAATGAATTTGAATCATCACAATGTCTTTCCTCTTGTACCAGATATATTGCACATACAGTTGAGTAATAGGGATTTGTAATAAAAAAAATGAATAAATTATCGGGGAGAATATGTAATTACTTTCACACCCTTCGACACATAATAATGATTGATAATGCCGTGTTGTTGGCATTATTATCTGATAATGTATGAGCCATCCAGGCTGATCCTGGCCTGAATGAATAGGTGCAAGGAAAGTTGTTTGGTTGACGTATCACTTGAGACAGGATTAAGTGAGATGTTGTTTGGTTAGATGCATGAGTGGTGAGTTTGGTTACCTCTTTTTGTTGGGGGTGAGTTTACCCCCTTTTCAATCTATAACTGGTTTTTAACATGATAAAATGCAGTATACTAGTGAAATCTATTGCATAGTTAACACGTAATCAGTTTTAAAAAAATTAACTAGTTGCCCTTCGGTGTATAATAAATGAACCGTAGTATCTTTCAGTGCTCAATACAGGATGCATATCTTTAACCGATTTGAGGAAAAAGAGGAAAAAAAGAAAAACAACAAAAATTCTTAGCGCGTGGATGTCGTCGTCCCCAACACTTCAATTGCCGGTAGAGGGGCCCTGCGGCGCTGGTCTCCGCTCCCCTCCACTGCCGGTGCCGGTCACTGTTCCCCTTCCCCTCGGCCATGGCACCAATCTCTGCTCCCCTTCCCCTCCTCTGCCATGCTTTTTGTCGAACCCCTTTCCCACCCTCCACTTGCGGCCATCGGTGCTTAGATCCACAGCAGGCAGCAATCCGATGGCTGTAGAAGGGAGTGAAGATGGCGCCATGGAAGATGGCCAGCCATGGAAGATGGCGCCAGCGATGAGAGGAGGAAGACGGTGGTGGTGACAGCGGTGGTGCCGCTCCAGTTTCCAGATCCGGTGTCATTCATCGAGCTCATCGCCCCTTCAACATAAGTGCAGTGTCCTCCGACGAGCTCCTTCGTCCTCCCCAGCCGGCAAACCTTCTGGATCTGCTCATGCATCCTCGAGGCAAAGAAGGAGAGGGCCTCTAGAGGAGAGGAGAGAGGAAGAGGAGAAGCATGCTGCAAATGGAACCGGAGAGGTGAGCGGATTGCTCGTGGGTCACGCACTCGCACCCGCGCCTGCATCCGCACAGCCAGGCTTAGGAGTGAAGCTCACTCCTCACGTTTCTGTTGGGCCTGGCTCGAGAGTGTATTTTGCATGTGTGGAACCAGGCTGAGATCTCCGTGCAGGCAACCAAATAGCTGGAATTTGCATGTGCGGGTGCGAGCCAAGTCCCATGCAGGGAACCAAACACACCCAGAGTGATCCATCTAAATGCTGCTAGGTGTCTAACAGGATACATTGAACAATGCTCGAATTTCCTGTCAGATTTGGTAGTTCTGTTCTAAAGCAATCATTTAGTACAGGGATCTTGTCCAAGCCTTTCTCATGGCAAGTATAGTCATCCAGCAAATTGAAAGCAAAAGTACTGATCCTTAAAGGAAGTCAGCACCAAAATTGAGAAGCATAATAAAACCAGAATTGGTTGTTATGAAAATCAGAAAATTATGGAAAACAGAACGCAGGCCTTTTATTTTTCCGGCCTGAAGGCTACAAATTATTCTCGTAAGGAAAATTTGAATCTGAGAATTGAATTCACCAGCAACTAGTGCAATATTGAACACATGTTTTATGAGGATTACAATAGGGAGCTCAGCAGAAATACTGCACTTCTTCTTCACACTTTCTAAATATATATGTACTGTAGTAACAGGTGGAAGAACAAGAAAACAATTTTCGTTGCAAAAAAAATCTTATCTGAGTCAAGTAAGGTAAAAAATCCTTATCTAGATATACATCTGTGTAGAAAAATCGAAGTGATTTTTGAGTCATACATTTAATAGACAACCAATAAGAATGAATAGGTAGATAAACCATGGAGACATTTACATGGCCCCAGAGACTTGTGGTACTCAACAGGTCCTCACTCACATAACAAAGTTCTGAGCCCATAGAGTTGGATATTCCTCTTAACTGCATACCTTTATAATTGAAACATCATAAAGGAAGTATTTAGCTTTTGGTATTTCTTACTTTGCTATGAAGAGCTACTAAAAATTTGTAATTATGTAGGGTTCTCTCATCGGAATGACTGGACCCAAGCGTGGCATAAAATTCTGTTCATCTGCCCTAATTGAGTATGATATGAGAATCAAGACAGGAGAACAAGAAGAGGATGATATACAGCTGATTGACGGTGTATTAGGCATCTTTGATGATCTAAGCAAGCCATCGTGTAAACCGTTCAGAAGTCGCATTGATGGAGTTGGTGGGGCAGTTGACATCACCGTTGGACTGCTTCCCAGTGCAGTGGAGGCCATATTTGAAGTTTCCATATCAGAAGTCCAAAGTTGTTTCGATCTCACCGTGTGTTCTTATGCTGGTGGGTTAAGCCAACAATTTAAGATCTTTCAGGGCACCATTGGTGAGTCGTGTGGCTTGAGAAGGTCCGTGGTTGCTGTAATGTTGGATGGTATGTTGCACCTGAGGTTCATAGCTCGGAGAAAAGGCTCTAAACGGGATCATGAAATTGCTTGTTCAATCAGAGCAAAGAAACATGGAAGCTCCACCCACCAGTTAAATACTGAGCTCGCTTCCTTCTTGGTCAAGGTGAATTGGTCGACATTGCCTATGTAAATTCCTTATCTTTTCTGTTATTCCTTAAATTTTTGTTAGAAGAGATAACCTGCTTCATCCCGTTAATTCCTTAAATTTTTGTTAGAAGAGATAACCTGCTTCATCCCGTTAATGCATCTCCATCAATGGTGGATGTTTGAAATGACCATTTTAATTCCCATGAAGGAATTAAACAGACCAGCAAAATTTGCTCAGTAGTCACTAGATTGTAGTTCTGATTCATGGTTAAGAGCCTAAGAATATGCTGGCCTGAGCCCATCTTTTCGCTTATACTTATCAGCTAAAATTTGAATTTTCAACCTTAAATTTAGAGTTGATTTTAGGTTTTGTTTCTATCGTAGTTTAATTTTCAGTCTTTGCTTTTAGATCGTTAAGAACACATATATAAAAGTTTTATTCATATTATTTTTCATTTGCAAATATGCTGTTTGGCTTATTCCAAATGGTGAGGCTTCAGTGTTTAGAGCACAATTAATATATTCTACTAATACTACAGATTTACCTGTAACAATACCCTGGGGGCGGGGGTGGTATAGAAAAGAACCTTTACTGAACTTCATGGAGATTAACGGGGGTGGTATAGAAAAGAACCTTTACTGAACTTCATGGAGATTAACAATAACTTGACCAATCTGAATTGAACAATATTTCTGCTCTAAAAGGTTGAAACTAACATATACTTAAGTCACTTGTTTTACGACCACCTTGCTGACCTATACAATAGGCCTAGTTCTTCGCGACTGATGAAGAGAAGTATCAAAGCCTTGTTTATTGTTTAGTTCGCGAAAAGAAAATTTTTGGATGTCACATCGGACATTTGACTAGATGTCAGAAGGGGTTTTCGGACATGAATGAAAAAATTTCATCACTCGCATGGAAACCGCGAGACGAATCTTTTGAGCCTAATTAATCAGTCATTAGCACATATTAGCACATGTGGGTTACTGTAGCACTTATGGCTAATCATGGACTAATTATGCTTAAAAGATTCGTCTCGCGATTTCCCCCTAACTCTGCAATTAGTTTTTATTCTTATCTATATTTAATGCTCCATACATGTGTTTAAAGATTCGATGTGACGTTTTTGGGAAAAAAAAATTGGGGAACTAAACCGGGCCTAAATAGGCATACACAAAATGATAAAGCCATTCGCGTATGATTAAAATTTAGTTTAGTTATTACAAACTTAAAAATGGATTTATTTGATATTTTAAAATAACTTATATATAAAAAGTTTTCACACGAAATGTACCATTTAGTAGTTTAAAAAGAATGATAACGGGAACTAAGTAAAATCTGTATCTTAATCAAGGTTATTAGGATCAGGACTAAGTAGTCTCGTTTTGCTCAAAGTAGTATCGTATCGTAGTATCGTGATACTATGAGATTTTCTTTTTTTAAGTTTATTTAATATTTATATTAATTATATATAGCAATTCTATATAAAAATATGTAGTAATAATATATGTTATGCAAATATAGATATTTATCAAGAGAAACCACGTTGGTTTTGATATATTTAGCTGATTTCTATATAAACTTGAGCATATTTATTTATATTATTTTTAAACCATCTTATTTTAAATAATATTTTGTAGTATCGTAGGGATCGTAGAATCGGGATACCACCTAAGATTTCGTAGGATCGTGTAGTAATGAATAGTATGATCGAGATACTATGAAAATTAGGATACTTGATGGGATCGGTATCGTTTCGTCTTGGTAGCATCGTAGTATCCTAAGATACTAGATACGAATCGGGATACTGACACACAAGATTCTTAATCATATTAGAACGGGCCCGCTTATTATGCATTTACCTTAAATAGGCAAAGCTCCAACAAAACTATTTAATAACTTGCATGCAAGAGATGCACAATGAATTAGGCAAGACATAAGAAATTGCGTGAAGTCAATGAAATGATGACCGAACCGAGCGATTTGCAAGGCTGTAAAAAGAAATGAACTAGCAGCAACATATCTGTAGCAAGAGTCAAGTGTGGTCCATCAGAACTAGTCAAACTCAGGTGGCCAATTGGCGCGGACTGTGGTAAAAATAATAATTCACAATGCTCACCAATATTGGTTCTCATCATCTAACAATATGGATTTCAAATTCTATCTATGTAATTTGTTTTTGAAAGGGAAGTGTACTTTTACCCAAGAGTGGATGTCTCCTCATGTACCTTTACTTATCAAATACTACGAAAGAACCTAAAAAGATCATTAGCGTCTACTGCTCCAAGAAATCCAATATGTACCAATGTTTTGAGTGGTCAGTAGCAGTTCAAACAAAACAATTGATATAATGAGCATCATATAGCTACAAGATCCCCAATGTGAGCGACTAGATGCACCTTGTTCGCTTAGCTATTATTATCCTCGAGGTGTAGATCGAGGTCCCATAACTTGTTTGAGTGTGTCATTTCGGTTTTAAATTGCTATGACCATTTCGGGGTCCTACATGTCGTGGACGTGGTATATCACACGGACATTAACATGGTACCATCACTCATATACACTCATTGCCAATGGGCCCAAAATACATAGGTATTTTTTCCTCCTTTTCTTTTTTTTACTTCTCCTCTCCTTCCTTGTTCCTCTCTCTCTCCCGCTTTCACGGTGCGCTGCAACAAGGAGGACTAAGGCACTGCCAGTGTAGCCTTCTCGAGTAGTTCGGTTCAAGTCGGAGGATGGCGTGCTTGTCATGGTCGTCGCCGACGCATTGTCGTGGTGGTTGCCACCTACGCGGGCTTGAGTGTGAGCTTCTCTGCGCTGAGTTGCTCCCCCAACACAAGCTTGAGCTTGAGCTGCTCCGTCCCATTCCAGTCCATCACCAACAGCTAGATTTGATGTGATGAGCTTAACTTCAGATCTAGGGAGCCCAAGTCTTGATCCATCATCCGGAGAGGGGAGAAGCTCGAGATTGTCCCCGGTGGTGTACCTAGGATTTTTTATGGGTGGTCCAAATAATATATCTCTTAAATATTCTAAATACTAACAAGATTAACAAGATTAGAAGTATAAATTCTTCAAATGTGAATCTAAGTATAAGTTGACTGACTGTGCATCATAATTTACTAATAAGGGAGTTATTTTTTGTTTTTACATATGTATATATGCATTGGGCTAGGATTTTTTGGTGGTCCCGGGACCCCCCCATATATCCGCTTATGATTGTCCCACCCCAGATCCATGTTGCCAAGCTTGTCATTGTCCCCCGAGCTCAAGTGTTGGTGACCTCGTCCTTGTCTCTTGCTTCGCGTTGCTGAGATCGTCAACAAGATGAATGGCAACGACAGCCAATGCAAGGTTGAACCGCTGCGCCTTCCACATGGCCCATAAGGCTAGGTGCCACACCTCGGCCAGAGGTGGATATCCTGCACTCTCCCTGGTGGCTGCACACTCCTCTCCCCACCAGAGTGTGAGCGTGGCCACGTCTAGGAGGCGTGAGACGGGCTCGAGGAGGAAGGCGAGGACAGGAGCAGCGATATTGCGTGCTTCGGAGAGGACATGATGGTGAAGGTATCGACGCCATGCTAGCAGGAGTGAGTGGGGAACCAAAGGAGTGAAGAAGGGAAAGAAAAAAAAATGGGGAAAAATATCCTATATCGTGCCCATTGGTAGTGAGTGTATATTAGTAATATAGCCACATTAGCGTCCATGTGTGGCATTTCACATAGCACCACATAGGATCCGAGAGAGGTGGTCATTTGGGACTAGAATTACACATTCATATAAGTTCTAGTACTTATATATGTATTTTGTAAGTACAAAAACCTAGATAACACATACGAACAAATTTAGTAATTGTCCATGAGTTGTATCCGAATACCATCTATTTCCCCTAAACTGGTATTCAAAGTGAAAACCGCACCGTCAATATGACCATGCTGCCTATTGATTTTTATCCTAACCTCGCCATGTTTCACATTCCTGACACTTGTCGCCTGGCAATACGAATGTGAATATATACCTGATCACCGACACTATTACACTCGGGTATCATATACTCCCTCCATTTTTTTAATATATGATGTTTTAAGATACGTTTGGCCATTTATCTTATTAAAAATTCTATAATTATTATTTATTTTATTATGATTTGATTTATCTTCAAATGTTCTTTAGTATGTAATTTTTTTAATATTCGTAAAAAAATTGAATAAGACGAATGATTAAACGTTTGTAAAAAAATTCAACGACATCGAATATTAAAGAAGACGTAAAGCATGGCTACCATTGAACATTTGAATATGGCTAGTTTTAGAAAAGATGGCCTGGTCTACAACAGAAAAAAAAAAGAGCCTGGTCTCTTGTGATTATTTTGGGACCGTTAGTTCCTGCAAGAATCATCTACTATCCCGACCTCGCACTTCATAACATGTGAATTTATATATATTGATTTGATCTAATTTGGGTATTGCTGCATGTAGTTAATTAGAACTTGTAAATTAAATGATCCTTGGATCGTTCATCACAGGACAAGTACTGTCGGCAGAGAAATTAAGGCCGGATATATGGCGTTGGATTGATTGGATGAGGAAATTGACTGCATAGGTGTGTGAAAAAAAAGGAGACCTAGATCGATCTAGGTAAGAAAAACTAGGTATTCTATGTTCCATGGGCCAGAGAATTTTTTAAACTTTCATCAAGGATTCAAGGGAACTTCGCTTTCCACACTTGTAGCATCTGCTTCCTGCACTGACTTGACTAAAGCCCACTTGATTTCATTAGTACCCTCTTGGAGAATAGACCCATCTAGTAAACTCAGAAGCTCCAATCAGAGAACAGCATCACTTTGAGGGATAAGATCGCCTACTCTGAGTGGACCTGTGCTCGTTCATCCCAATATACTCGGCCACACTATCACATAAGTATAATGTATTGTATCACTAGCAAATGCAGACGTGGCAGGAGTGTTTGTTTCCAATATATATGAAGCACACATCATGTGAGAACATAGTATCAGCCCCAATTTTTTCGCTTTGTCGTTAATGTGAAATCTTTGTAACAATTAATATTTTTTTATGAATAATCGGCTTTGCAAATGAATTGATTAATGGAATTGGTATTTTGTGATGAACAATTAACTTTGCAAATGAGTTGATTAACATAATTGGTTTGGAAATATATATGAATGTTGGTGTTAGTGCGTGTGACTAATATGTGTCAAATTGTGATATCTGTGCACAGAAATAGTTATTTTGGTTGATTGTGTGTGGTGAGGACTGGAGCCATGCTTAGGTAGGAGAAAAGTCTTATACGGTTAGGATATCATTTGAA